TACAATTAAGATGTGACACTTTTGTACTTTTACTCAGGGGCTGCATCTAGACTGGCATGATTTTGCGGAAATACTTTTAATGAAAAAATGTTTCCATTAAAAGTATTTCTGCAAAAGTGCGTCTAGATTGGCACAGATGCTTTTGCGCAAAAAATGCTTTTGCGCAAAAGCATCCGTGGCCAGTCTAGATGTGATTTTGCGCCAGAAAGCCCCGATCGCCATTTTAGCCATCGGGGATTTTTTGCGCAAAACAATTCTTCCCTGTCTACACTGGCCCTCTTGCGCACTACGGCCTATAATGGCAAGGAGAAAGGAGGATCAGGGCACAACAGGGAGGCAAGATCAAATCAGTATCTTAGATGCCTATATACAAATGCGAGAAGTATGGGTAATAAGCAGGAAGAACTGGAATTGCTAACCAATAAATACAACTATGATATCATTGGTATTACAGAAACCTGGTGGGATGGGACGCATGATTGGAATGTTGGTATGGAAGGGTACGGCTTGCTCAGGAAGGACAGACAGGGAAAAAAGGGAGGAGGGGTTGCCTTGTATATTAAAAATGTACACACTTGGACTGAAGTGGAGATGAACGTAGGAGATAGCTGTGTAGAGAGTCTCTGGGTTAAGCTAAAAGGGGTAAAAAACGAGGGTGATATCATGCTAGGAGTCTACTACAGGCCACCTAGCCAGGTGGAAGAGGTGGATGAGGCCTTTTTTAAACAATTAACAAAACTATCCAAAGCCCAAGATTTGGTGGTGATGGGGGACTTCAACTATCCAGACATATGTTGGGAAACTAACACAGCGAGGCACAGGCTATCCAATAAGTTTCTGGACTGCATTGGAGACAACTTTCTGTTTCAGAAGGTTGAAAAAGCTACCAGAGGAGAAGCTGTTCTGGATTTGGTTTTAACAAATAGGGAGGAACTAGTTGAGAACTTGAAAGTGGAAGACAGTATAGGGGACAGTGATCACGAAATAATAGAGTTCATGATCTTAAGGAAAGGTAGAAGGGAGACCAGCACAATTGAGGTAATGGATTTCAGGAAGGCAGATTTTGATAAGCTCAGAGAACTTGTAGGTAAGGTCCCATGGGAAGCAAGACTGAAGGGAAAAACAACTGAGGAGAGTTGGAAGTATTTCAAAGGGACGTTGTTAAGGGCCCAAAAGCAAACAATTCCGCTGTGTAGGAAAGATAGAAAATATGGCAAAAGACCAGCTTGGCTTAACAAGGAGATCTTGCACAATCTCAAAATAAAAAAGGAGTCTCATAAAAAATGGAAACTAGGACAAATAACAAAGGATGAATATAGGCAAGCAACACGGGAATGCAGGGGCAAGATTAGAAAGGCAAAGGCACAAAATGAGATCAAACTAGCTACAGGCATAAAGGGAAACAAGAAGACCTTTTATAAATACATTAAAAGCAAGAGGAAGACCAAGGACAGGGTAGGCCCACTGCTTAGCGAGGAGGGAGAAGCAGTAACAGGGAACTTGGAAATGGCGGAGATGCTCAATGACTTCTTTGTTTCGGTCTTCACCGAGAAGTCTGGAGGTGTGCCTAACGTAGTGAATACAAGCAGAGAGAGGGTAAGTTTAGAAGATAGGATACACAAAGAACAAGTTAAAAATCACTTAGGAAAGTTAGATGTCAGCAAGTCACCAGGTCCTGATGAAATGCATCCCAGGATACTCAAGGAGCTGATAGAGGAGGTATCTGAGCCTTTAGCTATGATCTTTGAAAAATCATGGCAGACAGGGGAGATTCCAGAAGACTGGAAAAGGGCAAATATTGTGCCCATCTATAAAAAGGGGAATAAGAACAACCCAGGAAACTACAGACCGGTCAGTTTAACGTCTGTCCCAGGGAAGATAATGGAGCAGGTAATTAAGGAAATCATATGCAAACACTTGGAAGGTAATAAAGTGATAGGGAATAGCCAGCATGGGTTTGTGAAGAACAAGTCATGCCAAACTAATCTGATAGCTTTCTTTGATAAGATAACGAGCCTTGTGGATAAGGGAGAAGCGGTGGATGTCATATACCTAGACTTTAGTAAGGCATTTGATACGGTCTCGCATGATATTCTTATTGATAAACTAGGCAAATATAACTTAGATAGGGCCACGATAAGGTGGGTGCATAATTGGCTGGATAACCGTAGTCAGAGAGTTGTTGTTAACGGTTCTAAATCCTGCTGGAAAGGGATAACAAGTGGAGTTCCTCAAGGGTCTGTTTTGGGACCCATACTGTTCAACATCTTCATCAATGATGTAGATATTGGGATAGAGAGTACGCTTATTAAGTTTGCAGATGATACCAAACTGGGTGGGGTTGCAACTTCTTTGGAGGATAGGGACATAATTCAAAATGACCTTAGCAAGTTAGAGAAATGGTCAGAGGTAAACAGGATGAGGTTTAATAAAGAGAAATGCAAAGTGCTCCACTTAGGAAGGAACAATCAGTTCCATACATACAAGATGGGAAGCGACTGTCTAGGAAGGAGCATGGCAGAAAGGGATCTAGGGGTCATAGTGGACCACAAGTTGAATATGAGTCAACAGTGTGATGCTGTTGCAAAAAAAGCAAATATGATTCTAGGTTGTATCAACAGGTGTGTTGTAAGCAAAACTCGTGAAGTCATTCTGCCGCTCTACTCTGCACTAGTTAGGCCTCAGCTGGAGTACTGTGTCCAGTTCTGGGCGCCACATTTCAAGAAAGATGTGGAGAAATTGGAAAGGGTACAGAGAAGAGCAACAAGAATGATTAAAGGTTTAGAGAACATGACCTATGAAGCCAGGCTTCATGAACTGGGCTTGTTTAGTTTGGAAAAAAGAAGATTAAGGGGGGACATGATAGCGGTTTTCAAATATCTAAAAGGGTGTCACAAGGAGGAAGGAGAAAATTTGTTCCTCTTGGTTTCTGAGGACAGGACAAGGAGTAATGGGCTTAAAGTGCAGCAGGGGAGGTTTAGATTGGACATTAGGAAAAAATTCCTAACTGTCAGGGTGGTCAAATATTGGAATAAATTGCCAAGGGAGGTGGTGGAATCTCCCTCTCTGGAGATATTTAAGAACAGGTTAGATAGACATCTGTCAGGGATGGTGTAGACAGAGCTTGATCCTGCCTTGAGGGCGGGGGGCTGGACTCGATGACCTCTTGAGGTCCCTTCCAGTCCTATTATTCTATGATTCTATGAAAAGCATGAGTGGCGTGGAGAGGGTGCATAAAGAAAAGTTCTTCGTTAGTTCCCATAATAGAAGGACTAGAGGACACCAAATGAAATGAATGGGTAGCAGGCTTCAAACTAACAACAGAAAGTTCTTCTTCACAAAGCAAGTAACACCATCGTCGCAGCCAGGCATTCATTAGTCCATCAAAGAGTCTGTGAAAAACCTTTCCTCCCTCCCTCATGCTCTCACATTCTAACTCCATCTCCGCCAAGCAGTCCTTCCTGGAAGAGCACCCCGTGATCAAGGAAGCTGAATCCCTTCTGGTAACACCATCGTCGCAGCCAGGCATTCACCTCCAGGATGCACCTCTCTCTGCCCGGGCCCCTACCTTTTTTTACAGGAAGGATAGAGGAGAATACCACCAGCCCAACTTTTTTTCTTTTCTAAGCAATTAAGGATTTAAATAGCTCTTAAAACCTCTCCCATTACAAAAACGGGAGGCATGTTTTTGCCTTGTGCACCTATCAATTAGTATCTTCCTAACCTTTGAATCTTAAACTAAATCAAATGAAACAAACTTGAGAGCTACTTCCTACATCAAACAATTTCAAATAAATCATTACTATCAGTTCAAGTACAGTATCAAAATGATCAGTGTACATTTATATTTTACTGTATGTATCATGAATAGCAAAGAAAATGGTCATTAATTTTGAGAGTTCTGATTAGTATATTAAAGTTTTCAAAAACTAAGAGAAAATTATTATGAGTGTCTACTAAATCATTGTGCTCTGAAGTCCTGTGTATAAATTACATTTCTTATGACTTCAAAACTGGCAATTTAGGTGGCACACAATACAGAAGACAATATTATTTAAAACATTTAGGTATAGATTCAAGCATTTCCTCAAAAGTTCATCTCTAACCATTGTTATAAATTGGTTTACTAATGCCACCAAGCCATGTCAAGTATATGCAATAGCTGTAGCAGAGAACTGCTGAAGATTTTAGTTAAGGATTTGGAAGCACTAACTGTGACTTCTAGCAGCCATAGGAATAAATAGGAACATCAGTCGTGGATGTTAAATTATTGGTGAAGTGTAGGGCTGGTCAAAACATTTCAAATGAGATATTTTCCCAAAAAAGGGTTTCATCAAAACCAAAATCTTTCATGGATACCTATCAACTTCGAAGGAATTTCCCAAGAATATAAATGTGCTTTGTTCATAAAAGTTGACCTGACCTGAAATGAGAAACACCGAGTTTCAGAATTTCTCCCGCTGCCTGAACCTCTGTAATGCTTCATGGGAATTGGAGTTCAATGTCCCTCCTAAAGCCAACTAGTCCCAATATCCTGTCCAGACTTCACCTCCCAGGAAGCACTGCATTCTCTCACTGTAAATGAGAAACTATAGTGTTTGCTTTAGAATCTGCAATTCCTGTGAAACAGAGGAAAGAAAAAACTTCAGCTCCCACAGATCAGCACTGTTGCTCATACACAGGGAGCAATATGGCAAAGAAAGTGGGAGGGAAAATATTTACTTTTGATCAAAAACAACCAACAGGATTACTTCAACATTCCCAATGCTAAACTTTTATTCCACAAAAAGTTTTGATATTTTTACTTTGCAGTATTTTGCCATTTTGATTTTATCTCAATTCAGGAAGCAATCTCCCACAGGACAGAAGTTCTTGTTTTTCATATCAGCTCTGGTAAAGCGCAATTCCCTAAAGGAGCACAATAAGTCCCAGTTCACTAGCCCAAAAGTTAAACTTACTTAAAAATACAGGTAAAGTAAAGAAGGATCTGGTGGGAGGCAGATTGTGCACGCAAATGGCACGAGGCGCCCACTGTACATGATCAGTCCAGCTGACTACTGCAAATGAAAACTCCCATCTGTGGCGCTGGGATGACGCGACACCACACTGGAGCTCCCCCGGTGACATCACTCAAAGAACATTTATTAAAGAAAAAATTTCAGGTAAGTTCCGGGTGCGCAGTTGACAAAGGAAGGCTCCGTACATCTGTGGTCACACCTGAATTCTGGGAAGTTCCTAGTATCAATTTAAACAGTTTGCAAAATACACGGTATCGGTAACCAGCATTATCCCAAACTGAGATGAGAGGGGCCTGGATTCCTCATGTAATTCCCCTCTGGTGAGCGTCTCCCACTGGCTACCTTAGACAGCTCCCTGCCGGGCCTGCTGGCTTGTCCCAGACACTCCCATCCCCCGTCACTCAGGCTGGGGGCTCACAGCGTCATGCCAGGGATTTTCTGGGCAGCTACAATTCCAGGCAGCACCGTTCAGCGTTGCAATACCCCAGCCCCTGCCTGGAGCTTGCTCCTTGTCTCCAGCTCTGCAGGGGAAAGCAAAGTTCCCAGCAGGCAGCAGCTTCAGGCGCCAGGGCCATCTGCTTTCCTGAGCCCAGCTGGCCCCAGAACCCCCAAGGCAGGGGGCGGGGGCGGGAGAGTGAGAGGCAGAGCTGTTGGATTGGTCGTTTTGTGCAACTCTCTTGTGCTTTGTGTGCTGAAGTGACTGAGCACTGCAGGGTGGGACTTGTGTGAAAAGTCTCGGGCCTGTGCGTGTCTCCAGAGAGAGATCACCTTGGCCTGGAGACGGGGGTCTCAGCATGTGGGACTCTGCCCAGCTCCCATCTCTGCCTGCTCTTAGCCCTGCTCAACCCCCAACTCTGCTCCTACAACTGCTGCAAGAAGGGGGAGAAGGTTTCAGGAACCATAGAGAGGAGGAGCCAGGGGCAGGGTACCGGGGAGTCCTCCAGGGTCACAGAGTCTGGGGTGTGTGAGGCCAGAGGGGCTGTTGTCAGGGAAACAGTCGGAGCTGGGTGTCTGTGTCCTCCACCCAGATCCAGGGTCGGATTCTCTCCCCAGGGAGGGAGCCCGGAGGGAAAGTGAAGATCGGGGCCTCGGTTCCAGCATCGATAAATGTCACCTGCCCCCGGTCACAGTCCAGACAAACCCGGATCCTGCTGGGGGGGCTCAGAGGTAGGGGGGTCACAGGGTCAGTGAGAGCCTGGAACTGATCCCCCCACCGCCGCCCTACAGCCCAGATCCCGCCCTCGGGGCTCAGGCTGATCCCTCCCTTCCTGCTCACAGACTCTCTGGCTACCCCCACAGCCCAGCATGGCCCATTCCCCACCCCCACCTCCCAGTAATGTCTCCCCGAGGTGAAGCCCTCACGGCCCAGCACACAGCACCAATAGTCAAATCTCTCCCGGATGTCAGGCAGTGGCTGCCGTGTGTTTCCCAGTCTCGCACATTTCCCTCCTTCCGACAGGACGAGCTGGGGATGCGCCGTGGCTGGATCCAGAGTCACGTTGGCTGGGGGAGAATCAGAGCGTGAGGGGCAGAGCTCGGCCCTGGGGGGGTCGATGGCGTCAGGGACAGAATCTGCCCCAGCTGGGCAGTGACTCAGGGACTCTCCTGCCTCCAGGGGCGCCCGGCTCTGAGTGGGGAGCAGCCCTGAGGTCTCGGCCCAGCCCAAGGGGCAGCTCACTCCCCGGCAGGGAGGGGCCGTGGCAGAGAGAAGGGATCAGAGGGGCCCTGACACTGGGAATCTGCCCCCCTCTCTCTGGGCCGGGGACAAGCGACTCTGGGCCGGGGACCCCAGAGGGACAGGATGGAAACTGCCTGGTCAGGGCTGGCTGAATCCAGGCCCTGCCCTCGGCCGGGCCCCTCCCCATTGAAATGTTCCTGGGTCCCAGCTGCCTCTGGACAATGTTCATTGAAATGTCCCTGGGTCCCAGCTGCCTCTGGGCAGGGTTTGTGATCCCCCCTGTGACATGTCTCCCCGGCACGGCACGTCTGGGCTCGGCTCCTTTCCCACCACACTGGGGCTCTGGGCCGAGCTCCGACCTGCCCCACACCAGGCTGCTCAGCCTCTGGCCCAGCGCCCAGACCCCGCAGAGCCAGCAGGGAGGGGCAGGGACCGGCCCCAGCTGGGCTGGGCGGGAAGAGGCTGGACAAGGCGAGTCCTGCACTGGGGGTGCCCAGGCGCCGTGCGTAGGGTCAGGCCAATCCAAGTGAGAAGGAGGAAGAGACACAGCCAGGAGGGAGGGACAAGGCAGCTGTCCTGGAGGGGAGAGGGGGAGAGACCGGTGCTTGGAACCACATTGGATGGGATTGGAAAGGAGATCACAGGGAGGGCTACATTGCTGGGAAAAGGGAGTGGAGCAGGAGGAAGGGGACATGGAGGCGGCTGTAAACGGCCTCCCCACTGCTGAGTGCAGCCAGCCTGGGAACAGAGCCTAAGAGGCTTTTTTGGGTTCATCAACTTTCTCTGTTTTATCCATCAGAGGCCTGGTTCTGAGGGGCAGGAGCAGCAGATGCAACAACACCTGGACTCATTGCGTGTTGGTGGGACACAGCCCCAGAGTCGGCTTCTCCTTTGAGCAGAGTCTGAGTGAATCTTCCCCTGGTGCCTGACACCAGCTGGGGTGGTGTAGTTTTCAAGCAAGGACCATATCGGCACAGACTCTCCCTCCTCTGCCGAGATGCCCAGGGCTGGAGCGGCTTGGCTCAGCACTCAGTTCTGGGCTGGGCTGCCAGGCACTGCAGTGAGCCCGGTGAGAAGCGCAGCCGGGAAAGTAACTCCAGGACCCCCCCCCCCCCCGGGCTGTTTTCTAATGGACCCCTGCCCTCCGCTCTCAGGCACTGGGGGGCGCTCTCCATTCAGGGGGGTGTTTGCTTTGCACAGCCCTCTGGGGGACGCTGCATGAGGGGCCCCCCAATATTTGGATGCCAATATCTGAACGGCATCGTGACGCGGATTCCCCTCCCTTTGGGCTCTTGCTGATCCTGCACCGTTGGCGTTTGACACGTTGGCTGTGTCTAGACTGCATCCCTTTTCCATAAAAGGAATGCAAATTAGACACATCGCAATTGCAAATGAAGTGGGGATTTAAATCCGCCTCCGCTTCATTTGCATAAACATGGCTGCTGCTTTTTTCCGGCTCGGAGCTTTGCCAGAAAAAAGCGCCAGTCTAGACAGGGATCTTTCGGAAAATAAAGCCATTTCCGAAAGATCCCTTATTCCTCTTTAAAAAAGTGCAGTCTAGACACAGCCAAACGCTGCGGCTGTGGCTGATCTGGGCCTCACACCGAGATGTTTCCCGCCCTGCACATCATGCACATTGACACACTGGCTGGGCCGATACTGCCCACGTGATGGGGCCGTAAAATGTCCTTACACTCCTTGTGGGTGAGGGCAGGACGGAGCAGGCCCTGAGGGAGGGGAGCTCACCCTGGACTAAGGATCCCTGGCCCTGTGCCCAGGCTGGCAAAGCTGAATCACTCACAAGCAGGCCGAGGGGCCGAGCCTCTGAGCCGGCCTGGGGACCACGCTGCAGGGAGGGGCAGGGCAGAGGCTGCCTGAGCAGCGAGGGTCCCTGCGCCCCAGGGAAATCACCAGGGGCTGGGGCCAGTGGGGGGATCTCAGGCCAGGGCCTCGCAGAGGCGACTGAGCAGCAGGAGGAAGCCGGGGTGCAAAGGAAGGTGGCAGTGGCAGCATGCACACTGCGGAGGCAGAGGCCGGTGGCAGGGGCAGGTGGCAGTAGAGACTGTCCTTCTCTAACTGTCAGGGGTGGGAGTGGGGGGTGCCCATGGGGCAGTGACTCTGGGTCGGTGCTGCCAACCTGAGGCTGGGGACACGGCCAGGGACCGGGGGTGGGCGCGTGCGAGGGGCTGCAGCTGCGCAATGAGTATGTGGAGTATCCCCAGGTTCCTTTTCCCTTTTCACAAGTGTCTTTTGTTACACTGACAAACCATGAACATCAGTTACCTTCTCCTTTATGGAATGCTAATCTTCTCCAGCCTGAAACCAAGCAGAGAAACCCAGCTGAGAGCGATGGGAGCACACGCTCCATCTCAGAGAGAGCAACCCATGGGCCCCACCTGCCCTGCCGGCCCTTCTATCCAGCCCTGAGCTGCGCCCTCAGCCCCCTCCCTTCCTTCCCCTCCCACTCAGTCCTCGCTCTTCACTCCACCTGCCCTGGACTCCTGGCTGTGTGATAGCAGCTGTGGTGCCACCAACCCCCATACTCTGAGTGGTGCAGTCATGGGGCAGAGAGCAGGGGAGGAGTTGGACAGGGGATGAGAGTCCGGGGGCTGTCTGTGTGACGGCAGCTGTGTCCAGGCAGCACAGCTGTGGTGCCACCAACCCCCATACTCTGAGTGGTGCAGTCATGGGGCAGAGAGCAGGGGAGGAGCTGAACAGGGGATGGGAGTCCAGGGGGGGAGGGCTGTCTCCGGCAAAGATCAGTGGGGTTTGGATTGAGGTGGGCAGTCCTAGGGGGGCAGTAAGGAACTGAAGAACGGGGGGAGGGGTAAGATGGGGCAAGGCCTGAGCCATGCCTGGCTGTTTCCTTCTCTGCCTGGCCACCCCTACAATTTCTGCACCCTGAGGTGGCCTCTGGCAGAAAAGTTTGCCCACCTCTGCTACATACACAGGATTCAACATTGTACAGAGTGATGCCATAAAGAAGTCGGAAGTTTCAAATTCTACTAGAAATGTTGAATAAATCAGAAAAAAAAGAGCTACACAAACACAGCATGAGCCTTGCGGCTGGGTTGGTTTGTATTTCAAACATCTTCATTGCCTGCGGAATTATCCCTACTAAGGGTGTGTCTACACTTGCCCCCTAGTTTAGACTAGGGAGGCAAATGAAGCATACCGAAGTTACTAATGCAATGCGGGATTTAAATATCCCATGCTTGATTAGCATTTTAAAATGCTAGTCGCCCGATTTAACTTGCCGCGTGTAGCTGCGATAATGTGATCCAAAACCCTTCCCCCGAAGGGAATTAACTGTTACTCCTCCTTGCATGAGGAGGGGAAAGGTTTCTTACATTAATCTCTGAGCACTTGCTTTTTCTTTGATTACTAGTCATAGATGAACAGCTCTGGGGGATGTGGTTCTGTCTTGACTAAAAGATGATTCGCATTATGTTACTTCATTATATTTTGTTACATTTTCAGAACTAAAGTTAAGATTCAACTTCTATTCAAATAGCAGCACGTTAGCACCTCAGATATCAACTCAAGTGACCCTCTGGAGTGAGAATTCTCCTGCTTACTCTGAGACCACCATTCATTTTTGAAGTTGTATTATAAAAATGACAAAAACCCAACCCCCTACCGGAACAAAGTCCCATGGTGAGGACACACCTTAGCACAACAGGGTTTACCTGTAGGGAGAAGGAGAATGACACTTACTGAGTTCTGCCGCCTGTTTCTCTAGAAAACAAGGAGAAACAAATCAATGATCAGTGGGCGGGTTTCTCTTTCCAGGATCTACATGCAGGGTGGGGTTTCCAACATTGCCTAAGTGACTAGGGTGCAGGAGTCCCGATGTCCCTACATCACTCAGGCAGCTTTGGGAATCCTACTGCCAAGGGTTAGACACACGAGGCTGAGATTGGCCTGGGCTGTGCAGGGCTAATGCGAGACCCTCTGTACCACTCGGTGCCTGCACAGGCAGAGTGGCTATAGCCAGAGCCCCCGCGACCCTTCCAGCACGTCACAGGCACAGTCTTCACACTGGCCCTAGAATGTTTAGAATGATGGAGACTTTGATGCCTCCCACAAAGTCTAAAAGGCTGAATTTCCCCCTTCTCTTGCCTGCACCGTGGGTTGGTGTCAGGGCTGACAGGCAGGGCCCAAAGCTCTAACATAGAGTGAAGCCTGGTGGTAGTTTGTGCCCTTCCAGAAAATTGAGTTCAGCAGCCGTGACGCTCTGGAGGAACAGGGAATACCGGGGAAAGGACCAAGCCTGAACATGCTCCATTAAGAAAGGATTTGTCAGTCAGTTTAAATTCCTCTGTCGCCTCTTCTCCCCTCACTTCAGCTCCAAACCGACTTCCTTTATTACCCATACTCCTCTGCTCCCTAATCCCTAGGGGTACGTCTACACTACAGCGCTAATTCGAACTAAATTAGTTTGAATTAGTTAATTCGAACTAAGCTAATTCGAACTAACGCATCTAGAACTAAAAACTAGTTCAAATTAGCGTTTTGCTAATTCGAACTAGCATGTCCACATTAAGTGGACCCTGAACCAGGCTTAAGGATGGCCGGAAGCAGTGCCGGCAGGGCATCAGAGGAGGACTCAGAGCGTAGAGATGCTGTCTCGGGCTAGCCAAGGGCTGTGCTTAAAGGGTCCCGACCCCCACCCCCGGACAGACAGTTCTCAGGGTGCCCTGCTTGCAAAGCAGTCCTGGCTTGGAGTGCCCAGAGTACCCACACTGGGCACATCACAGCACTCGGCCATCAGCCCGGCTACACTTGCCGCAGGCTGCCATCTGGGGAGAGGGGGCAATTGGGGGGCTGCAGGAGAGCTTCCACCCCCAGAAGCCCGCAGAGCCAGCCCAGTCCTCCCCATCGGGGGCTCGTACCCCATTCCTCCCTCACCTCCTTCCACTTACCCTTCCCTAGACCCTTTTCTTGATGTACAAAATAAAGGACAATTGTGTTCAAAAATGGAATCTGTCTTTATTGAACAAAACTGGGGGAGACTGGGAAAAGGAGGTGGGAGAGGGGAAGAGAGTGGCTGGGAGAGGGGAGGGCAACTAAAATGATGAGGGGTTTGGAACAGGTCCCGTATGAAGAGAGGCTAAAGAGACAGGGACTTCTCAGCTTAGAAAAAAGGAGACGGAGGGGGGACAGGATAGAGGTCTCTAAAAACAGGAGTTGGGTGGAGAGGGTGCATACAGAAAAGTTCTTCATTAGTTCCCATAATAGAAGGACTAGAGGACACCAAAGGAAAAGAATGGGTAGCAGGCTTCAAACTAGTAACAGAAAGTTGTTCTTCACAAAGCAAAGAGTCAACCTGTGGAACTCCTTGCTACAGGAGGCTGTGAAGGCTAGAACT